TTTGGTGGGCCTGGGCTAGATTTGAACCCGCCACCTTAGGTGTATGTGGCTGGCGCCTTAGCCACTTGAGCCACAGGTGTTGAGCCTTGTCACTCTAATTCTTGAAGTACCAGCTAAAAGGCAAAATTTTAAAAGACTAAAGAATAAATATATTAGTGACTCAAATTACCAACCTTAAATATATCCTCAACACATCTACTAAGTTCTTCTTCTGTCACCAAAATGGTCCCTGGTACCATGTCACTCTCTGGGATCTCTAGAGAAGAAAAAATAAAATTACTCATACTTAGCACTTCATTGAAGAGAAGATACCAAGCCTAAAAAAGGAAGTTCAACTAGAAAGATACTAAGATCAGAAAACTGACATGGTTATCATCAAATGTTACACTACTCATATATAACACTTCATGAAATCTATGATGCCACTAATCATAAACATGAATTGCTATTTTATATATCAACAAGAAGAAAAAAAATTGCCAATTAACCTATGACACATTATCACTTAGACTTTTAATTTAATTTTATTTTTTTGAGACAGAGTCTCACTATGTTGCCCTCAGTAGAGTGTGGTGCTATCACAGCTCACAGCAACCTCAAACTCTTGGGGTTAAGCAATTCTCTTGCCTCAGCCTCCCAAGTAGCTGGGACTATAGGTGCCCACAACACCTGGCTATTTTTGTTGTAGTTGTCATTGTTGTTTTTTAGCAGGCCCGGGCCAAGTTCAAACCCTCCAGCCTCAGTGTATGTGGCTAGTGCCCTAACCACTGAGATATGGGCACCAAGGCCTCTTATACTTTTAATTTTAAGTTTATTAAATGAGAAACTGGGGACCAGATGAAATGAAAATGGTAGAAGATTGATGGTTATGTCCGGGTGATAAGTACACAGCAGTTTATTATATAATCTCTGTAGGCAGGTATTTGAAAATTTTCCTTTAGAGAGCTTTAAGATAGAGTTTTTTAAAAAAATTATTAAAAGGTCTCTTTATACTTATTTAGACATAGAGTTTTATTACGTATCATTCTTTATATTAGTTAAATAATTGGGATAAATGAAATAAAATTTCTTAAAACTTCACATGAAGTGTCCACCTCTTCTGAAATATTTCTTTCTTGTTTGTTTGTTTTTGAGATAGTCTCAAGCTGTTGCCCTGGGTAGAGTGCCATGGCATCATAGCTCACAGCAACCTCTAACTCTTAGGGTCAAGCAATCCT